TCCGGATGGCCCGGCACCATCAGGAACCCGAAAGTGCTGCCGGACAATTGGAGCTGCTCTGGGCCCGGCTTCCCTGATTCAGCCACTGCTGAAACTGACCAGCAGCAGCTGAATCGGGGATGCCTGGGGCAGAGCCAGACTATCGTAAGGGGGGGCTATGACGGGTCTGGGGTGGCATCCCCTCCCACCCCACTCCAGACCCCTCATAGCCCCCCCTTCTGATAGTCCAGCATATCTGATAATCCGGCACCCCCTGGGTCCTAAAGGTGCTGGATTATCGGAAGTTTACCGTATCCTGCATTATAAATTGCTCCTTTTGACTGTCTCCGGTAACATAAGTCTTAACTTCAAGATTACATTGTCTGAACACTGATACAAACAAAGTAGAGTAACCAGTTCTTCAAACCCCACCTAGGAGCTATCTACATATCCCCTTCTTGCGCAAGAAAAATCCTCTTGCGCGATGCTGCTATGCTGATTATTTTCAGGAATAGCGGCATTGTGCAAGAGGGTTTTTCTTGTGCAAAGAGGGGCAGTGTAGACGCTCTTTCTGGCGCAAGTGCTTCTTCCGCAAAATGGCGGCTCATTAGATATGAGAATGAGGCTGTGATATTCCACGCTTAGCCTCATTTGCATATTTCTGGCGCAAGAACCCGCCAGTGTGGACATAGCCCTAGAGTTTTCTTGAGGCAGTCAGTCCATTCCTTTTGCTCAGAATGAGAACCCCCAAGACTGTCATGTATTCCTTTGTTAAAAAATTTTTTTTTTAAACTGTGTCTATGAAACAGGTGATCAGGGCTATCAGAAAGAAGTTTCAAAGGCTGAGTGCTTAGTAAGAGCAGGTTACAAATTCCCACCTGTGTACTCCCTAAGAATTCCATGCTATACATGTTGTCACAAAAGATCATTTATCCCTTACATCCCTGGTGTCCAACACACTAGCTACATGTGGCTGTTTGGCTGGATGAATGCTGCAAGTTTGCTGTAGCAGAAGCCACTGTAGTGGTACTCCTTCAGAACTGCTTGGACATCAGGGCCCTACACAGTCTTTTGAAATGTACAGTACTTCCCAAAGATTATATTAACCTTGTCTTTCTCCTAAAGGAGTTCTATACAATCCCACAATAATACATAAACTAGGGATCTCAATTCATTTTACCGTAGGGCCAGTGCCAGTCCTCAAATGATCCTAACAGGCCAATGGGCACCTCCCTCTGGCAGGGCTCGGGGCAGGGGAGGATCTTCACACATTCTCTCTTCCTCCTCATCCTTCTCTCCCCCACCCTCCAGCCCCCTCCGTGTATCTCCCAGCCCTGCTTACTGGTCCATACGCTCCTCTCCTGCGTGTCTTCCTGCTGCCCCCAAGTGATTTAAACCCCTTTTCCTGCGTCCTACCACTGGCAGCACAGCAGAGCTAGAGCAGGTTCTGGCTGGTAGGTCCACACTGCTGCCGGCATGTCCCTGTCAACCAGGGTGGTGTTTGCATAGCCATCCCACCCATAGCCAGCCCAGGTCCTGCATTTTGTGGGTTTCCACAGCAGCCACCCCAACTGTCCCATGGACAGAATGATCTCCCATAATGAAGTTAGCCCACGGGTGAAGCAGAGCAACTGGGCTGGTCTGGGAGATGGCGTCAGAGTGGAACAGGCTGCTGTGGTGCTCTGCTGCCCCGGGGCTTCCACCACTGTAGTGAGTGGGGGGCGTTGAATCCTGCTGCCCCAAGCTCCCTTTCCCCCGATAATCTCTGAGGCCACATAAGGGAAGAGGTGCAATGAGGGAGGAGAAGGCGGAACAGGAAAAGGCTGGGCAGGGGCTGGGCTTGGGTGAAGGGTGTAGATCCACATAACTTCCTAGTGCAACAAAGACTCGTGCCAGCAGCCACATGCAGGCCAGATTATGGAACTGCTTGGGCCGTAGATGGCCCACAGGCCATGAGTTTAAGACCCCCGGCATAAACATTTGTGTTTTCACTACAGTGTATTCTTTAAAATACTTAAACGTAAGCCTTTTCTGTGTTACAAATTTTTGCCAGCAAAAGTTATGCTGATTTTATTAAAGCACTTTAATTAAACCACTGTTGCATTTCCACAGTATGTGCCTTCTGTTGGTAGAGTGCATCGACACTAGCAGCTCTTGCATTGACTCACCCCCTCCACACACACACACACACACACACACACTCACACTCTATGCAGCAGTGTGTTACTAGTGCAGAGGGAAGAACAGGAGCATTCCCTGTTAATGATTTGCTCTTTGTCCCAGAACAGATCTGTATACTCAGATGTCAAATGCTTCCAGGAACTTTGAAAAGGGAGAGGGTGGCACATGCCTGGAGGACAGCAGGGATCAAAACAGTGAGAAAAGCACTCAGGGTATGTCTACACTACCCTCCTAGTTCGAACTAGGAGGGTAATGTAGGCATACCGCACTTGCAAATGAAGCCCGGGATTTGAATTTCCCGGGCTTCATTTGCATAAGCTGGGAGCCGCCATTTTTAAATCCCCGCTGGTTCGAACCCCGTGCAGCGCGGCTACACGGGGCTCGAACTAGGTAGTTCGGACTAGGGTGCCTATTCCGAACTACCGGTACACCTCGTTCCACGAGGCTGCCATGAGAGCAGTGCTCCCTATGGGGGAGGCACATCTCCCCTTCCCTCCATGAAGTGGTGGGGGGCCGCTACCTAGGGATGTTAAATTTAGTGTAATTGACTAGTCGATAGAGGCAGCAAAGGAGGGGAAGCGACTAGCTGAGGGACTATTCGACTATCCAATAAGCTTTTGCTTATTGGATAGTTGACTAGTCGCTTACGTCCCCAGCGCTGCCTGGGAGAGTCTCTTGGGGAGCAGCACCACTGGTGGGTGCCACGGTGGCACACATCCGAACAAGCGCACTTGACTCATTGTTGGCACACAAGACAATACTCACTCCACTCATGGATGGAAAATCTTAGAGGGAACACTGGAGTACATCTCCACTATTTTATCAGCAAAAAGAAGCTTTTACCGACAAAGCTTTGTAGTACAGACAAGGCATTAATTCAGCAAAGATGTGACCGGGATATTGCAGGAAACTGCCAGAATTATCACATTACCTTTCAGGGGTGTTATACAAAAATCTGTAGAAGACTAAGAAAATCTTGTGATCTTTGGAGAAGCCACAGAGTATTCTTCTATCTCCATTACACAATCCTTAACACAATTGGAGAATCCTTATGCCTCACTATCAGTAAGCTTTAATTATATGTCTGGCTGGTCATGCCAGCCAGCTCAGACTAAGACTGCAGGGCTGTTTCATTGTTGTTTAGATTTCTGGACTTAGGCAGAAGTCAGCCAGTCCTCAGCACTACCCGGAGCGCCCCATGCCGGCCCAGTCCCTCACCAGCTCTCAGAGCTGCCCAGAGCACAGCATTCCAGCACTGATTTAAAGGGGCTGGGGCTCCTACCGCTGCTGCGATAGCGGTGGCTGGGAGCCTTTCAAATTGCCTGGCCTTGGGACAACTGCCCCCTCTGCCTCCTCTGTGTTGGCAGGCCTGTGTGTAGACTTATCCAAGAGGGTTATCGGGGCCTCATTGTCTCTGAGGAGGTTCAGTACATTTGTATGTGAGCTCATAACACCTTAATTCAAGGTATGGGAAATATGACAAAGGTTTCCTTTATACAAAATATTCAGATTTTATTTATCTTCTGTGAACTTCTCCTCTTCCTCCCTGTGTTTTTTGGATCATGACCATTGCCAGAGCTATCAAAGTATCGTGTTCTTCTTGCCATTTTTATAGTATACTTAGAAGATTTACGCAGCATTGCTCAGATCCTTAGCTCAATTATTATTCTTTTTTTGGGGGAAAATAACATGAAATTGTACATGCATAATTTAAATCATTGCTCTGAGTTTAGGCTGGGGACGAGGGGGTCAGTATGCAGGTTGCCCCATGGAGAGAGGACCACCTCTTGCCCTCTCTCACTGCAGCAGCTTGGGGCCAGGTGAGAAGTGCCTTTCCATGGCCACTGCAGCTCCATGTTCCCCCGGCTGGGACAGGTGCAGATTCATCTGTCCCCTCTGCTGCCCAGCCAGAGTGAGGAATGCAGCAAACTGCACTTTCCCCTCACTCCCTGATGGAAGTCCCCATACAAATGGGGTAGAGAGCCTCTTCCTCCCCTTCCCCCCCCTTCTAAAGGATACCTGAGAGGTGGGAGGCTCAGGTCTGGGGCAGTCCCAGACAGGGGGACACCACCTCGCCTCTCTCCCCCACCCCCACAGACAGTCCCTTTCACTGCCTGGTTATGATGTCTCTTTTCTGTACGGTTTTATGAGAAGGAATCCAATTCTAGGCACATCCCACTTTCCTGAAACAACCAAATCCTTGCCTTGCTTTAAGTAATGCTAAGAGGAAGCTATATACTGAATTTGGTGGTCTTAGCTCTTACATTTAGAAATTCTTGAACAAACAGAGGGACAGACAAACTCTCAAAAATATGCAGGTTGAATGTCTATAGTCTGTACCTTTGGGACCTGACCAGTGCTGATCCAGAGAATTTGCCGAACCATAGTAGATCAGTGTTGTCTAGCAGTATTACCAACATTTCCACTGCTTACTGGGAGCTATATAACAGCGCACACAGAGCCAAAACTGGTGGCTCTAGACAAACTGTATGGGACCGAGGGAAATCTGGTCATACCCATAAGTAGACACCCAGCTGACTAAAATCATTCCAGACCATGGATGTTGCCAGACCAGAGAGAGCTGGATTAGAGAGGCTCAAACTGTAATAGATAATGTGCTGGTGGTTGTATTTTTCTTTTATAAAGCCCAGTATTTCCCTGTAGCAGGTCACATTTAAATTACAGCCCTGTAAAGTTGTTGTCTTCAGAGTTCTAACACTTCACTAAAGGAAAAAATTGCAAAGAAAAAGACTTCTACCTTATGAAAAGCTTGTAAATGACATCTTGATTTGATTGCTTTTCTTTAGGTTAAAAAAGAAGTTGGTGATGTTAGTATCCTAATCAATAATGCTGGTATTGTAACTGGAAAGAAGTTCATTGATTCTCCAGATTCGCTTGTGGAGAAAACCATGGAGGTGAACATCATGGCACACTTCTGGGTAATATACAGAATTTTTTTTATAGGGAACTATGAAATGTTGGCACTCACACCTGTTTTGGAAATGGGGAGGGAGAGATTTATTTTATGTAATTGATTTTTAGCTGGTTAAGTTTGTGAAGTCCTGCATGCAAGTTGGTGATATTTATTTGTGAGTTCCAGAAATAGGGAGGATGGTAGGGTGTCCCACAGGAAGCTTGTTGGGGGAGAATGGAGGGATATTTGCAGCCCCTTGTATGGGTAATCACTTCTGCCTAAAGAAGAAATAAAGGATGCAACTGCCTAGTATTGGTTGTCTGATATTAAGAAATACTTCTGGGAAATGTGAACCTGAAAAGTAATAATATTGTGGGTAGGGATGTAATAGTGTAACCGTTTAAATGCTGGAAGCTGTCTGCTGCCCTGCGGTACAGGCTCGCAAGGAGTGGGGCTGACAGCCGGGCGCACGCTGGCTACCAGTCCCACTCCCAGGAAGCCAGCTGCACTGATGGCTCTGCAATACAAGCTTTATACTGCAGAGCCTGCAATGTGTAACCGCTTAAGATTTTTAACAGCTACACAGTTACCTAATAAACTGCTTTTTAACATCTCTAATTGTGGCGATATTGTTCTGTAGCTGTTGATATAAACTGACAAAAACTTACCTTAAATTAGTCATTCGATTTGCATTTCATTATGAGGGAGACGAACCGATATAGTAATAAAGAACTGGAGAAGGAATGGTGAATTAACATATGCTGCTCTGTTTCCATTCACTGGAAAACATGGAAACGACAGAGAATTTGTAGCTGAAATCAGGAAATGATGTTAGAAAGGTTAGAAGTGGTTTCCCCTTCTCAGCTGCTATTTTTAAAATGGAAGCCTATTTGGAAAATGTTTTAGTACTGAACTCCTAGGTGAAGGGAAGTTTCCCAAGGCTTCAGCTGATTGCAGTCTCTCTGACATCAATTTAGTTTCTGACTCCCCCTAGTGGATGACTACAACATGAAGAAAACTATGGAAACATATTGGAGAGTCCTTAGAGATTTACCTCGGAGGATTTAGTTAGTAGACAAAGTAGCAGTACTTCTTGTTCTAACTAATATGTATCTTATTAACCTCTGTAGAAAGAGGCAGACATTTTTCTTATCTCCTAGAACTCAAAAGACTTAATAGGTCTCCTTAATACTTTTTCAATAGTAATCCTCTTAACCAATTGGGCAATTAAATCACTTTAAGTAATGTTTAATTGTAAGTGTGGGTTTCAATGTGTTTCATAGACTTACAAAGCCTTCCTCCCAGCCATGATGGCC